CGAGGTCTTTGGCCAGTGCGCGTCTTGGGGACCCGTTTCTTGTTCCAGGAACACGAAGACCTTTTTTTCTTAATTTACATAAATTTATACGTATTTATTTAAGATATTTCTATGATGAGATGAATTTTTTGCGGTTTTTTTTCTATAATTCGAGCTATACATATATATATATATTCAAGAAGCACAGATAGAGCGACGTTAGGGTTTGATTCTTCAATTTCTTTTTTGTGTTTTTTTTAATGTTAATATTTTTTGTGGTTTCAGTTGGAAGAGATCGAAATTGAGGGCACAAGTCACGTAATCACTTTATGGTTCATCCAATTATTACAAGCCATCTCAACCTTTCCTCCTTATTTATCGCCTCGAAAAAAATAAAGATAATTTTATGCATTTTGTTTCAGCAAAAAAAAAAAAATCAATATATACATGTGCATATACATATATATGTGTGTGGAGTAAATATGGGAGAACTATTTACATGATACATATATTGGTAGAGTCGACAAACTCAGTTGAGTTGTAGTTCAGTTCAGTTCAGTTAGAGCCTTTGTTTTCTCTTCATATGTGCGTGGAGATCTGATTAATCTGTCTCCCGACGAGATTCCTGAACTGATTTAAGTTCAAAGATCTGTCTTTTTTCCCGGAGTTATCGGCACGAACACAGTCGTCGTTTGCTGATGTAGCATCATCAAGATTCACATCTGTAGATGAACGGTGATGATTCGCTCTCTCCGGAAAGTGAGAATCTTGATGATGCTGCATCGGCAACCGATGGCTCTCTCTCTCTCTTTCATATTCATCGGAGATCTCCGCGTTTGATGAATCTTAGCTTCAGGTGGGTCATTTTTCCTAGTTTGTTTTTTAAAAATCTTTTGGGATCTGTATATTCCTCTAATCGCTTGTTTCGTGATTCTATATTTCATTCGACTCTCTTTGTGGTTCATGAGCTAAATCAGACATAATATGTTGCAAGTTTTATAATCTCCATCTAGATCTGGTTCACTTCACACAAGTCTTCGATCGATTCAATTGTTTTCTTGAATAATAATCTTTTCCTGTATATTATATATCTATATATATATATGGCTAATTTTTTGTTACTATTCGTTTTTGCTAGTCTTCACAAGCCTAGCCCCCAACGGATTCACAAAGCTTCGTTTCATGATTAGCAAGGTAAGAGACGATATAATCATTGATAATTCTTTTATGCAGTTAAATAAAAATCTTATGTATATTTTTAATTGATACTGAGAAATTTCTATACTTAGTTTCCTTGTAATGAAAACAGAAATAAAATTTAAGAAAAAAAAATGCAAATTAATGGAACTATAGAAAAGTCTTAGGTAGGTGTACACTCTATGTATGGATGGTTTCTCCAGTTAAAGACAGATTAAGTAGGAGGCAAACACATACCATGACACACTGTCAAATGTCCTCTGCTGTCGTCTGTTGGCATTCAGATCGCCCAATCACATTTCGTTAGTGGACCAAACACTTCTTTTGTAGTCCCACCTATGTATAGGTTTTCACCTTTGTACTAGATGATGAACACTCAGCCATATATATATAACCTCCCCTACTCTTTCTTGTAGGATAACTATATATATATATATATATATATGTTTAGGATTGATCATAAAGAATATCATTTTGGTAATTACAAACAATAATCAAGAGTTAATAAGATTGTTTCCTTTGCATGTAGAAAATGTTAGTATGAGATCATGAATATAGAGCCAAGGGTGAGTAATGACGATACCATTTATTCTAATCACGGATATCGATCATGCTAATTTACTGATTGAATCTTAACGTATTATACAATCGTGGACTATATGTGGTTTGAACCATTCACATGTCACGAGCACGCCGAGAGATTGATTAAACTATACAAGACCGGCAATTACTTTGATGTTAATCTACACAATTAGATGTACGGATTGGTGTTGTGATACTTTTATGCATCAACTGCCATTGATATGAATGTATGCCATGGAAATGTGTGTACCTCTCCGCCACCGTCCAAAGTCCAAAACCCTATGTATGGTCCTCTTGTAATAGAAGTTGTACTTTTGATTGTCTCTAAAGCCAAAGTCATATATCTCTTCTATCTTACACGTATATACATAATAAATGGATTTTAGTTATAATATTTTTCACTTAAATCCATCCTTGATCATCCTAAATGGATTAGCCGAAAAGTCTAGCTATGTTCATTCGTAGTTATTTCGGTATATTTGAATTAATGTGCTGGTCGCTCTAGTTAATGTATGCCTTAAGAAATCACTGCATGTGATATCAAAGGATTTCTAATTTATTTGATATGTGTGCGCACCCCATCTTTGTATAAGTCTAGATAGATTAATGGATTGTTATTTTGCATATTTACATTGTTGAGCCTCTATATACATATAAACTCTCTTTATTTTAAGTTAAGCACTTGATATATGGTTGATGGGATCCCAAGTTCTTCAAGCAAATTGGATTCTCTTTTCCTTTTGGATCACTCCCTCTTTACAAAATGCCTTTTTTTTTTGTTTCAAGATGGTTTTGGGATCTGAACTTTCACTTTCCATAAATGGAAATGAAATCTTTTTTTCTCTTGTTGGCAAGGTTATGTCATCGTCTGCCATTCTTGTTTCGTTTCTTACCAAATCGGATTCTCAAATCTTACTTTCTGATTTTGGAAACTCTACCCTTCCACATGATCTTCCAAATCTTTCTTGTGATGCACAATACCTGTTTTGCTGCTTAAAATTTATTCAAGTTTTTTTTTTATAATTCTTTGCTAAGTGTGGTTTCTTAACTTTAAATATATTTACATTTTATTCGGTTATTGAGTCAATGGATGCAGAATCTCCATTGCAGAATTCTTGAAAGATAGCGAAATAATTCCTTTGCAACATTCTCTTGCATGCATTGAATTGATCTTTCTAATCGTTACAAGAACTTGAATTTGGTTTTCCCTTTTTCTTGTAGTAGCAAGTGAGAGTCCATTTATGTGGCTGTCAAATTGTACCATTTGTACAGCTAATTAAAGGAAGTTCATTTTGGTTGATATGGTATTTGTGACACATTATATGTGTTATGTATATCAATGCTGCATATGTGTTTTATGTCTGTGTACATATATATACATACATATATAATATAGTCATGTGTAACTTTATATACAAAAAGGAGTAAAATGCGTGTTAATATGTAGTGGATACATTTTCATGTAGGTATTTGCATGCATATAAAGCACGCTTTTTTTTGTAATAATGAACTTTTTTTTATCATTTTATGATGTTTATGTATTTACTGTTTATATATATATATATATATATATATTTGTGTGTGTGTGTGTGGTCCTTTTACTTGGAAAGCTTGCAATGCACTGAGGGAGTGAGGACCATTTCTCTTTCTCTGATATATATATGGACCGATCGAGAGGGCTATACTTTAATTATTGCAAATACGGAAAGCTTTAATTCGATGTGGGTTGTATCACTCATTGAGCCTTCTAATTAGGGTTTTAGTATCATTGATACATTCCTATAAATATATTTGATTTCCCCAAATAAATATATGAAAATTGATATTATTATTAGCTTATTGCATCATACATAGAATCAAAGAATTCCACACGAATTACTAGTTTCTAACCATCAAGCTTAAAACAAAGCCGAGTATATACATATATATATATATATATATATATATATATTAGCATCATTATCTAATTTCTAATCGTGTTCATTTTCTATGGTTAATAATGAAAATTTATCTCTTATCTTTCCTTTCCACGGGTTGTAGGAGCTGTAATATAGTAACATTTTTTTATACCCAAAAGACATAATTATTTGTGGTAATTATTTGCTACTATCTGAATAATTGATTTTGATTTTCAAAAACATTTTCGAATAATTTCTAAATGTTTTCTCAATGCTGCGGAAGAAACTAGTGAAGCTGACAGTCTATTATCACATATTTTGATATTTGGACCTTGTGATAAATTCATCACAAGATGTTGTCTTCCCGATATTACGTCACATACAATAATTAGTAGCTTATGTGAATGCTCTTTAAGATATTCTAATATATTATTTACACCCATCCTTGTCTAGTTATAAAATTAATCACATTCTTCTCATTTTAAAACAGAATGTAGCGAGATTTAGGCATATTAAATACCCATACATTAATCTCGTTTAGAACTAAAGACTAACATTTTTTAATATGATATTTTGTCCCTATGGATACCTCTATAATGATTTGATATCGTCTCGGCTACACATCATCACGTTCACATCACGTAAAATCAAACTTCATGCCGTTTTTTAGCACTCGTTCGACCCACTTTCATTGAACCGTGCAACCGAGAAAGAAACGAGTGGGAATGAGTCGACTCGGTTTCACATAGAGCAACTTTATTTTGACGTCTTGGTAACGCTACCCGAATGAAACATTTCGTTTTCTAGCTCTAATTCTGACCCAAAAAATGCTCATCTTGCACCCCCGATGAAAGTCAACACCGAGGACAGTGTTTGGCTCAAGTTTGGGGGGTTGTGCAACCATCATCCATTGAACCATCAACCATCACACGTAAATCATGATTGCATGAGTATAGTTGGTTGTACATAGATGTCCATGCATAGCATTTGCATACAGACTAGTTGCACATCGGGTGATCATCACGTACACAACCATTCCGTTTGATTTGATGCTGGGCTAATAATGGAATGATAAAGTATGTTTGCTTGAAATAGTCTTAGGAACTAGACTTAGGAAATCCTAAGAGTACGGATGGATTGTCGAGAGAGGCGGAAATAGCGAGTATGGTTTTGAGAAACCCGAGATGCATGTGAGATGAGTCGTTGTTTAGGAATCGACCGGAACATAAGTAAGAATCATACGCCCATGAATCTCCATTTAATTTATTTAAAAAAATATATATATATAAGAAAAAGAAAAAAAAGAAAAAAAAACAGAGAGAAAAAAAAAGAAAAAAAAAAAAAAAAAAAAAAAAAAAAAAAAAAAACCCGCCATATGATGTTTTCAAACTACACCATGAGGCCCTGGGGAGGAGCAGCGGCAGCAGCCTTAGGTTTAGGTTTCTCCACGACGATGGCTTGAGTGGTCAGAACCATTCCTGCCACCGAGGCCGAGTTCTGAAGTGCACATCTCGTCACCTTCGCTGGGTCTATCACTCCTGCCTCCAGCAAGTTCTCGTACTTATCGGTCATGGCGTTGTACCCAATCTCCCACTCGCCAGCCATTATCTTCTCCACCACCACCTCCCCTTCAATCCCCGCATTCTGCGCTATCAGCCCTGCCGGCGCCACCAATGCCTGTCAATTCCACAGATTCTTGATCAAACTTACGGACTTTTGACATTAATCATTGGATTGAGAATTTGGGTATGTTTTGTTTTTCTACCTTCTGGACAATATCTGCTCCCAAACGCTCGTCAGGGTCCTCGAGTTTCTCCTTGATGGCTGGAACCGCGGTGGAGAGATGGACCAAGGCGGCACCACCGCCCGGCACAATCCCTTCCTCGATTGCAGCGAAAGTTGCGTTCTTTGCGTCCTCGATACGTAGCTTACGGTCCTCTAGCTCTGTCTCGGTTGCTGCCCCTACCTTAATCACAGCTACCCCTCCAGATAACTTTGCTATCCTCTCAGCTAGCTTTTCGGAGTCATACACTGAATCTGTCTCTGCTAGCTCTTTCTTCAGCTGGGCAATGCGGGCTTGTAACTCGTCCTTGGAAGCTGCGTCCGCTATGATTGTGGTCGAGTCCTTGCTAATGGTGACTTTTCGGGCAATACCCAACTGCTCGATAGTCGTGTTTTCAACCAGTAAGCCCATGTCACTGGCTTGGTACTCGGCTCCTGCAGAATATGAGCACAACAAAAGAGACATCAGATGAAACCCTGCCTGAAGTGGGAATTGCTCCAAAGATTTGCCATCCTTTTACTTTTTAAGTCTGCTTACCGGTAAGAATTGCAATGTCCTGAAGCATAGCCTTCCTCCTCTCACCAAAGCCAGGTGCTTTAATGGCAGCTACATTGAGAACACCTCGGAGCTTGTTCACGACAAGCGTAGCTAAGGCTTCCCCTGTAACATCCTCCGCTATAATTAACAATGGAGCCCTTAGCTGAGTTGTCTGCTCCAAAATCGGGATTATGTCCTTGATCGCAGAGATTTTCTGATCGGTGATCAATACCCTAGCATTCTCGAACTCAACCAGCAGTTTCTCAGGGTTTGTAACAAACTGAGGCGAGATGTAACCGCGGTCAATCTGTAATCCAAACGAACAAATCAAGTTATCTGATGTGAACTTTGAGTGAGAACAGCATAACTGTCGAGCTCTACTATGGCGGAAAGCCATATTTCCAGACCTCCATTCCTTCTTCAACTTCGACAGTCGTCTCAAAAGAGGAGGATGATTCGATGGACAATACACCATCGGATCCAACCTTATCAATTGCATCGGCGATCATCGTTCCCACAAGCTCATCGTTTCCAGCAGAGATGGAAGCGACAGCTGAACACAAACACCACATATGATATAAATAGACATAGAAAGCGGAAACACTTCAATGTCACAAGAAGATGTCGAACTTACAAAGCCGTGAAATGAAAACACATAACAAATATACCTTTGATGTCATCACGACCTTTCACAGGCCTGGCTTTCTTCTCCAGCTCTTCTATCAAACCTTGCACCGTTTTATCAATTCCTCTCTTGAGTGAGACGGGGTTAGCACCAGAAGTGACACTCAGAAGCCCTTGTTTGATAATTTCCCGGGCAAGGACAGATGCGGTGGTTGTCCCATCTCCAGCTGTATCATTAGTCTTACTGGCAACCTTCACGACAACATCAGCTCATCAAAACATCACACTGAAGATAGCATGAGGAGAAAATACAACGAGGAAACTTCAACCAACCTCCCGAATAAGAGCTGCACCAGCGTTTTCCATGGCATCAGGCAACTCGATAGCACGAGCAATGGTCACTCCATCATTCACCACCTTGGGGCTTCCAAATTCATCCAAAACAACGTTTCTCCCTTGATAGTAAACAAAAACGACGATAAGCAAAGGAAAGGAAATGTACATTTCACGAATTACAAGCTAGAATGCACAACCGATTGAGATACCAAGCGACTGAACTCGTTACAGGGCATAGAATGAATGAATTCAACATTGCTCAACTCCATAGATGGAAGATAGAACAAAGGGGCAAGCAAAGAAATAGGAAATGATACCTCTAGGGCCGAGTGTGAGACCAACAGCGTCTGCAAGCTTATCGATCCCAGATTGAAGCGCAGCTCTAGAGCTCTGGTCAAAGGCGATTTCTTTAGCATTTGCCTTCACCACGAAACGTCGGCTCGATTTCCTGTAGCTTACACTCTGCCCCTGCTGCTGGTTTCCTCTTCTCAACCTTCCCTGCACGAGCAAGATAATACCCCAGTTAACGCTTCACCACAACGAAGGGACATAATAGAGAACCCACATAACAATTGGGCAATCTGAGAAAATGGGACACGATCACGAGCAAAAAGATCTATCTTTGACAAACCCAGAAACTCAAAACTCCCACAAATGCCAAAAACACCAGAAACCCATTTGAGTTAGACATGAAACAAATCCGAAACCAAGTGACAACCGAACGACATTCGTTTCTCCAGAAGCTGACGAAATGCGTGACGGAAATCTGATGATCCCGTAACAGACGCCAAAAACGAAGTAAATACGAACCATTTCTCCGATAAGCGCTGGAAAACGCGTAAAAGGGAAGAACCCATCAAAAGATTCCCACCTGACGAGGAGAGCAGAGGACGGAAGCAGATGAGAGAGCGTTAGCAGACGCCATTGAAACTGTAGCGATGGAGCTTAAGCGTATGAGTTGTCCTGGAATGTGGACGATGAGGGCAAGACCGGACTAGAGTTTGGGGGTTAGGGCTTTAGATTGAGGAAAAGGTTCCAGAAGATTCTCTTGCGTTTGGTAGAAAGTTAGAAACAACAAAACACACCCACCCAAAAAACAAATAATATTAAAATTACTAATTGCATAAACACCCTCCCATATATTTCAAAATGTATATTTAGGCATCATATTTTTATCCCTGTCAATTCTATATCGAATTTACCATTTCCAATTAAAATTTGCAGTTTTTTGTTTTTCGAGTTTTTGTTTTCATTCATTTTATTTTTGATGTAATTGTTTCACTTTTTTGTTTTATTTTTATGTTGCTATAAATTTTTAGGGTATTTTAGGGTATGCTATTTTGAAAAAAAAATATTAATGAACATTAAAACGTGTTAAGGAAACAATGACAAGAGAGAGGTTCTACCAATTTCCTGCAAAATTAAAAATATGTGGAAAGTTCTAATATAGGGTCAATTTGAAAAACGAATTAAATTTTGTTGTTAGGGAAATTATCATTAATAGGTCGCGTGTAAGTTTTTTTACTGAACTGTTAATTGCTAAATAGGTGAAATTGTTGATAATATATATAATTAAACAAAACATAATAGTGTATATGCTAATTTAATTGTGCTGAACGATCCATTATAATTTTGTACATAACATGGGCCTTTGGGCCCGTATGACATATGCTTTGTTTTGGGCTTATGGATTTTGTTTACACGAATCTCGTCGTTAAACGAAATATAGTATTTTTCCTTCTTATGAAATGTGAATAAAAAATAAGCTTCATTTGTTTTTTTATACAAATAAAAATATACCAAAGTTTTCTTCAAATTAATTATTTTCGATCATATTTTTTCATATTAATAAATCATATTCCACAAAAAAAAACTTTGACCAAAGATAGATTAGAGGAAAAGTCATTGCGTGGTGTAATGGAAGATATTAAGTTTGTAAATATTCTATTACATATCCTAGTTAGTCTTGTTATGGATCTAGAATAACACACAATATATAAAATAATTAAATATACAAATTAAATGATAAAATTTAATTAAATCAAATTAAATAAATATTCTACTCCTTTATGTATTTTTTGCTTTTTGTTTTTATCAACTGTCGTTGTTACACCCAATGGTGCATGTTATATGCATTATAAGGTTTTGGAATGTAAATAAAGATGGAATATATAAAAAAAAATATTGAAAATTTTGGGCATTTAAATACCATATTATATTAGCACAGTGGTCTGACTTTTTTTTTTCTTCTAAAAAGGTAAAATGGCTAACTAATTTAAATATTGATGGAATAAAATTATTAGTTATAAAGTGGACTGGAGATAACCTCTGCCAGCGAGTGCCAGTCCTTGAACTGTGAAACGTCAATCGAAGACATAAATAAAAAAGAATCAAATAAAACAATTAAATATAATGTCAATTTAAACAAACAGTGACTGTCAAAATTAACATAAAGTCTAATTCAAATTAATTTAAATTGAATTGAATATACAGTGATTTATCCTCCTATCAACATTAATTATGACGTCAAATATTTAGGTCACTCAACTGACGGTCGTTCTTTCTGTTGTTTTTCGTTTCTCGAAAATAATTATCTTTCGCTGTTCAATTAAAAAGCTTCCTGATTAAAAAAAAACAGTTTTAGAATTTTAAACATCATAACTATCTATATAATTATTAAATCGTAAACGTATAATGAATAAATCGAAACTTTTACAAAATTTTGACAACCCAGTATACGAATGTAAAGATAATAGTCATATCAATATTTTTGAAAAATCTTATTTTATAATTTATATTGAAAATAACATCGATTGATGTGAAAATTTGAGGTCACATTTATCGAGGTCGCATATTTTTTAATTAAAAAAGTTATTTTTTCCTCTTTTTCCCTCAAAACTAAAAAAAAATTAAAGGCAGATAAAAAACGGGAGTGCCACGTGGAGGCCATCGAACTGGGAGTTAACGCAGTCAGTGAATCTGATGTTTTTGCTTCCGTCACATTCGCACAATCCCGTAGACCACGTGGGTTACACAGTTTTCTATCACAGCTACTTCTGATTGGATTGTCATATAGGCCCGGTCACCGATGCTATATCTTCCCTGGCCACCGTCCGATCCTCATCTAACGGTTACTATTTCGTTTCGTATTCAACTTATAACTGTGCCTTTTTTTTTCTTGCTCGGTGTAACTTCGTATTTACGTCAGATATATAATTCTTATAACAAAAATAGCAAACACCACGAAAATGGTCATAATATTTTACGAACGTCTCATCATCATTTATACTTAAATGAATATACCGAGGAAAAAAATAAGTAACATGCTAGAATTCTTTACTTTGAAAATTTCTGTTAAAAATGAAGAAAATACTCACAAAATATTCGAATTTCATTTAACGTATAAAATTGGACGTAAATCGAAATATGATTTTAAAAACTAATATATAGCAAATTGAAATTTATTATAAAATTAAAATCTCAAATTTTGTTAGCTTTAATTTTATAGATCAAAATTATTGAATTGGATTTATTATTAATGTATAGAATAAAAGATAAATTTAAATGAAAACAAAAATATTTTAATTAACATACTATTCTTTATATATATACACGTTAATGAAATTGATTTTCTGTCTAATTTTTTAGTTTAATATTTTTAATGTAATTTTTTTACTTAAAATATAATTTGAGGTCTTAATTAATTTCAGTTAATTTTTTCCTCCCACAAATATACTGAAATTCATATATATTTCCAATTATTTTCAACTTTTTTGCATTTATAAGAATTCAGGAGAGTTTACAACAGCACAAAGTAGAATTTTTTTTTTTGTAGTCAAACGAGTGCTCTTGATGATTTTACCCTAAAAATAATCATAGATTAATGAGTTATTAATGCACGAGGATAAGTTAGCTATCAAATCCTAACCTTTTTTTATATGCTCTTTTGCAATGCGATGAGAAATTATTTAATTGAACTTATTACTTTTAAAAAATTATAAAACTAAATAATAATTAGAAGAAAAGTTAATAAATGACCCGCCTTAATACGTTAAGACAGCTATTACAGATTTAAGCAATCATTGCTCTTTCCTTCTCTCTCTATGTATACAGCATACAAACACCTCTCTTCCTTTGCCGAAGCTCCGATCACTTCTTCTTAGTTCTTCTTCTCCCCATCTCTCTCTCTCTCTTTTCTCTTTAATTTTCGTCGAATTTTTGATTCCATAGTCTCCGAGATCTAACATCCTCGTACCATTCTCAGGTAATACGAAAGAAAAAGGAAAATAAATCTCAGCGCTTATCAGTTCACTGTCATCTTGTCTTGAAATCGAACTCAGTTTTTTTTTTTTTTAATACACAACCAAATCTAACTCCGAGTAGGTTATGTCTTCAGGAAATTATGTGTCAGTTTTTTTTTTCCTTGGAAGGTTCTTAGGGTTTCCTTGTGAGCCTTTTTTTTTTTTTTTTCGCTAAAAGCCTTGTGGAGTTTCTCTTTCTCTGGGTAGTTTTCACTTCTTCCGATACATCCATATGAC